AGGAGGAGGGCTGTCGCCACGGGGCAGGCAGCCCCCATGGGGACCCCCAGGCATCCCCGGCTGTTCTCGTCCCGGAAAGTCCGCAGAGCCCGGGAAAGCCAGCTGAGAACTCCAGGCACCGGCTGACCCCTCAGGAGGGATTACAGGCCCCAGGTGGCAGCCTCAGGGAGGAGGCTCAAGCGGGTCCCCGCCTGCCAGCCCCCATCTTCACTGGCTGTTTCCATGCGTACCCCACTGAGGTGCTGAAGCCTGTCAGCCAGCACCCCCGGGACTTCTTGCCCAGTTTTAAAGATGGGGTGCTCTTGGGGCCTCCTGGCAAAGAGGAGGGCCTGGCGGTGAAGGAGCCCCAGCTGGTGTGGGGCGGGGACGCCAACCGCCCGTCTGCATTCCATAAAGGCAGCTCTAGAAGGGGCAGCCCCTACCCCAAGCCCAAAGCCTGCTGGGTGTCCCCCATGGCCAAGGTCCCTGCCGAGAGCCCTGCTCCCCTCACTACCTTCCCTAACAGCCCAGGCCTGAGCAAGAAGCGCAGCCTGGAAGAAGAGGGCTTGGCCCATGGTGGCAAAAAACTGCGGGCCGTGTCTCCCTTTCTTAAGGAGGTGGACACCAAGGAGTGTGGGGCCAAATCCATGGGGTCTGGCTTGGCCGTGTCCTGCCTGCTGGGCCCAGCGCTGGGGCCTGCTCTCCCCGAGGCCTATAGGGGAACCATGCTGCGTTGCCCACTGAACTTTGCTGGCACCCCGGACCACTTAAAGGGCCAGGCCACGCTCCCCTTCAGCCCCCTGGTCATCCCTGCCTTGCCGGCCCACTTCCTGGCCACGACAGCGCCCTCCCCCGTGGCCACGGGTCTGATGCACTTCCCCCCGGCGTCCTTCGACAGCACCCTTCGCCACAGACTTTGCCCAGCCTCGTCTGCATGGCACGTGCCACCTGCCACAACCTACGCAGCACCCCACTTCTTCCACCTCAACACCAAGCTTTAGGTCCGAGCCCGCAGTGCTGTGCTGTGCAGGGTCTGAAATGGCCTGCGCTGGGGAGGCACTGCCTGGGGTCTGGGCTGGAGCCTTGTCCCCAGGAGAGCTTGGCTGTACGCAATGCGGGAACATGCCCCTGTCTGGGCAGCCCGTCACAAAGAGGGAGGCCGTGGGAAAACCGGGTTTGTCTCAAGGAAGCAGCCTAAGCCTGGGGCCCCAGTTGTTGCGGGGCCTCGGGAGAAGACAGTGCTTGGCTGGCAGCCCCCAGCTAGGTCCCCAGAGTGGAAGCCAGGAACGTGCTGAAGGGCTGAAGCGCTGGGTAGCAGCTTGAGGTATCCAGGCTGCCCATGGAAAATCCAATAAAAGACGAACGTGAATCCACCTGGCCCTGAGGTTTGCATGGTACGGACCTTCCCAGGGGTAGGGGAGGCTGGGGCGTGCTCATGGCTGGGGGAGCCAAAGAGAGAGATCTACGAGCATCCACTCAGATCTGAAATACCCCCACCGAAGAGCGGGACCCAAAGCAGAACTCAGCCTCCTGTTCATACTTCAGCGGGTGGTGACCTTTGCCCTGTGCCTTCTACCCACTTTCATAGAGTCTCAGCACAGCTGCCTGTTACCTTCCTCATTATACAGGTGGGGGTCTGACATTCAGAGAGGGCTGGAGACTTGCCCTTGTTCCCCCAGCAAGGAAGTGACAGCAGAGTTAGGCTCTTGGGTGTGACTCCAGTATCCAGAGCAAAGCCACAGGACCCTGGTGAACTGTAGGATGAGCCTGCAGCTGTTAGCAGCCCCCCTGGGGGCAGAGGGGGTGAGCAGGGAACCTCACTTGGTCTGTCTTGGTGATGGACTCACAGGGCTTGCTGCTGATTCCTCCCAAAGCCCCCATCCCACTCCCCCTCGTGTGCTGCACAGAGATGGACCAGGAGGTTCCCGGCGGGGGGAGGCGCCAAGAGGCAAAGGGGAGTGAAGCAGCCAGGATCTTGGCCTGGGCAGCTGCGTTCTCAGCCACGGTTGCTCTGGGGGCTCAAACCCTGCAGCCTAACACCCTCCTTCCTAAAGGCTCTGTTTGGGGAGCAGGGAGGGCCATCTGTCTCAGTAGGAGGGAGGGAGGGCCCCTTTCCGAGGCTTCCCTCCCCTCCCCAGGCTGCCTGTTCTCCCGGCCAGGCGCCGCAGCCTGAGGCAGTCTGATGGATGCAGGGGTAGTAGGTGTGGGGCCAGGCCCCCAACTGCCAGCCTCAGATTGGTCAGCAGTGGCCTTTGACCTCCCCAGCTGGAACTTGCCCTGCCTCCTAGGACACTCCGGAGCTCAAGCCATGGGAGGGGCAATCTATGTGAAGACAGCAGCCCCCCCCCCCCCGCCCTACACAGTTAACGGTTGAGTAGGCTGAGCCAGGGATGGGCTCTGTTTACCCAATGCCACCACTGAGTAGGACAGAACCCGGACCAGGGCACACACATATCTAGCACCAGGGGGTGGGCTACCCAGGCTAAAGGCATTCCATCCAGCTGCCTCTTGCCTCCAGCCTCCGATTCTGGAAGCTGCCTGTGGAGCGGGAGTTCAGATGGGGCACAGGCTGGGGCCAGTGATGGGGTAGCCAGAGGGTGGCAGTCACCGTTCTTGGCTCTGCAGGGGGTCTCCCAATTCCCCACCTCCCTCCTGGGCAATGCCAGATTCCAGCCCGAGTAGCTACCTGACCCCCAGTCTCGAGCCCCCGGTTTCCACACACACCCGCATGCTGCCCATCTCTGCAGGCTTCTGGAGTGGCGGACAATTGGAGTGGGAGGGCTGAATTCTCCTGCCACCCTCCCTGCAAACGCCCTGGGTGCAGGGCCACAGGCTATGGGGTCAGATCCCCCTGGGGAAGGGGGAGGCGAGGGCTACTTGTGTGCAGGGTCCCGCCTGAGATGGGGCAGGATCGCTGGGGTCCCTTCCATCCGCAAAGCCACAGCGGCCTCGCTCTGGCACAGAGGTGGGAGGTGCGCGCCTGGCGGCAGAACTTGGGCACAGAAGGGTCAGAGCCGTGATGGTGGTGCCCTCTGGAGGCTACTCCAGGGACTACACCTTTCCTTGAGAGGCGGCCCTGGCCAAAGCTGGTCCTTGGGCAGGAGGCCGCCACCTTTGCTGGGGTGTCAATAAATCCCCAGAACTTAATGTGGGCATGCTTCTTGGAACACTTCTGTGCCTTGCGTTTCCCATGTGTCGCTTTACGTCATTTTCCTCACTCGCCGGGAAGGGACCATCCTGATTTACAAATGAGGAAACAGCTCTGAGAGCTCAGTTAGCTTCAGCTGCGGCTGCGGGGAGTGCCCGACTCCCTGCAAGGGCACCGTGCACCTGCTTCCATCTAAATGGACAGGTGCGCTTCAGGTCGTCTTGCTTTTCACACTCACCCCTTTGCCTTCCTGCTGGGTCCCGACTCTGCCCTGGGGACTGGCCAGAACCTACGTTTGGGGCATAAACCAGATTGCGGGGCCGTGGCATTCAAGCTGTTGAGGGTGGCGGTGAGGGTGGGCTTTGGCAGCACGTGTACCAAGATCGGAATGAGGGCGTCGGTAAGTGGGGTGACTCTGGAAGGGACATCCCTACAATCCCTGCCCCTTTGCCTGGTGACAGTTCAAGTAGAAGGCCATGTGTCAGGCATTTGACAGACACTGAGTGTCTATTCCTAGCAGGTGCCAGGCACTGTTTTACGTGTTGGGATGGACACCTCAGTGGACAAAACATCCACGCCCCTGCCTTCATGTTGCTGACATTCGACGGGGGGAGTAGAATGACTGAAATACAGAGGAGTGCAGCACTAGGGAGAAAAACAGGGCTGGGAGTGGAATGTACAGTTTGTTTTTGTGGTAAAATATAACTTAGCATAATATTTACCATTCGAACCATTTTTAAGGGTAAAATTCAGCGGCATTGACAGCATTCACAGTGTTGGGCTGCCGTCACTACCATCCATGTCCGGGGTGCAGAGTTTAAACAGAGTGGCCAGGAGGTCTCAGTAGAAGGTGGCATCTGAGCAATGGCTGGAGAAGGTGACAGAGAGAGCCGTGCAGCTCCTGCGGGGAGAGCAGAGGGACCGGGGACGACAAAGGCCTTGGGTGGGAGTGGGCACGTGTGTCTGAGGAACTAGAAGACCTACAGGGTTGGAGCAGGGGGAGCTGGGGGAGAGATGGGGTTCAACAGGTGCTGAGGCTGGATGTGTGGAGCCTTCTGGGTCCCAGAGTGAGCTGGAGCAGAGGAGGGTCCTGGTCTCTGATGCTCACAAGAGGCCTGTGGTTTCTGGGTGGGACTCGGTGCTGGGGGATGGGGGTGGTGGGGAGCCCATCCACAGAGACACAGGCAGCATGCCTGAGCGCAGGTCTGGAGTTGGGGTGGGGGGACATGGACACTTCTAGTGCGTGCTGTCGTTCTCCCAGGGAGCTCTGGGCACTGGGGCACTGGGGGTGGGAGGTCCGAGGGAGAAGGGCAACTAGAGATCTCCAGGAGAGTGGGCAAGGTTGCACAGGGCAGGGCCATGGGGCTTCTGGAAAGTCCCAATTCCCACGCAAAGAGGCTAGTGGCAGGAGTGTCTGTGGGATTAGCAGCAGTGGGTGGTCTCCCTGCCACCTGGGGCCCCTGGCTGCAGAGCTGGGGGTTGGAGTGGGAGGTGCTGGGTCCCGCGGGAGTGGGAGCTGCCATGATGCGGGGGCCCCAGAGTGGAAGTTGGGGGAAGTGAGGGACCCGGGATGGGTGGGGCCAATGGACCATAGATCCTAATGGCTTCAGAGGGAGGATGATGGGGCGGCTAAAACTATTGTGTTGCTGGGTGAGTTGGTGGGAACATGCATGGGGGCTGGGCGGGGAAGCTTTGAAATCAGCACAAGAGCACAGCAGTGGTTTGGGGCCAGGCCCACCTCTGGGTCTTTGGATGGAGAACCGAGGATGGGGAGGAGGGACTGCAGCAAGGACCTTATCAGGGTCTCCTGGCATGACCTTCACAGTGGGGAGCCACAGGGTCTGGAAGCAGGGGCTCGCTCAGCACCCTCAGGGCAGTGTGAAGTGTCCCACCCTGGAGGCGGCGGCAGGGGAGCATCTCAGGGTGGGCACGGCCCCGGCTGGCAGGGGAACCCCCCAGGGAAGAGATTTCCATTTCAGCTCAAGACCAGGGGCTGCCTGCAGATAGTGGCCTGGAGATGTGTTTAGTTTATTTGACCCCTGTAATTTAAATAAATGTTTTTGTAACTAGTTGCCAGCGTTTAAAAATCAAGAGATTTCACATCAAATTTTGGATATCGGGCTTCTCTTTAAAAACTAGAATTTCTGGCCGCATGAGACCATTTCCTAGAGCTCGGTAGTGGCCGCTGCCTGGTGGACAGGGTATACCTGCTCATTCACTACAGTCCCCCCAGGCCCGCTTGTCCTCAACCCCAAGGGACCCAGCCCCAGCCAGGCCACCTGTCCATCCCAGGCTCACCGTTCCCACCATTCAAGCCAAAGTCCTGCTGCTGCGTGGCCACTAGGCGGCAGCTCTCGTTCTTTGTTATCCCAGGATGAGTTTCCTAAGCCAGTGACTCCAAGAAGGTTGCTGCTGGGAAACTCAGCCGGGCTTCCAGATGAGACGGCAGGGCAGTCAGGTTGTTGCCATGTCTGCTGTGCACTTCCCCTGGTGCACGGGCCAGCAGGGACAGGCCATGGTGGGCTGGACAGGGCGTGGGACCCCATCCTGCCCACCTCCTGAGCTATCCAAAGCCTTTGCCTCTCCCTGGGCCACATCTGTGCATTTGTGAAATGAGTACAGTCACTTCCAGGTTCTGCTCTGTGACCCAGAATGAGATGCAGATAGGGTCTATGGACTGATGAAAGGCCGGTGACCGCCCCACCTTGAACACACTCCTGGTTCCGAGAGGACCTTCCCAGCATCTCGGGGGCCCCTGGCTACTCTTGGAAAGTGCACAGCAAGTGTCAGCCGCTGCCCAGCCTGGTTATGAGCCACCTCCCCCCGCCCCCACCGCCAACCCACAGGGAGGGAAGGGGCCACTGAAGGGAACAGGGAGAAGGGGCTCTGGGCAGGGGTCTTAGAAGGGTGGCTGCACCACCAGCCCCACCGCCCCCTCCCTGCGGGACGCTTCCAGCCCTCTCCAGGGTTCCTGCTCAGCTTTGTCATCCCTCCCACCCCTTGAGGGAGCAGCAGGGTGGGGAGGAAAGATGGAGGAGCTGGAAGCCAGAACACAAGCCCTGAGCCTGATGCCCCCACAGGTTCAATGAGGGTTCTTAGGCCCTTTATACTTGCAAGCAACAGCAAGAAACTCCCACCCAGGCTGGAAAGAGCCTGTGGGGCTCACAGACCCCAGGGAGAGCTGAACAACCACACATGAGGACAGCCACACGGCCCCCTCTCT